AGCTTGTGCTTCGCCATCATCCATCGCAACGGCGGGTGCGTGCACCCTCGTTCGTCTCCGGGACGACGACGTGGGACGCCTTGCGGACGCAGCGGGTCTCTGTCGTGCGCACAAGATCGCGCTCAATCACGCCAAAGTTCTCCTGTGTTGGTGGTTGTGATCATGTTGGAGCGAACGTGATAGGTGGGGAATGAGTGTGTGGAAGCATTGGAATTGGAATGCGCGAGTGTTGTGCATGTGCATGCCGCAGCCAAGCAAGCAAGCACTGTCATGTGTGTGCGCAGTGGAAGCATGCAGCAACATGCGTACCACACAAGCCCCTCTCCACAACTCAGTTCGCTCACCAGGATATCGCCGACACCGGCAAAGCTCTCGGGCGACGTGAAGGCGATGGTGGTGCTGGGGACGGCGAGGACAAAGTTGAGCACATCGGTGCGCGCCTGCAGCGATGAGAAGCTGGTGGCAACAACGGTCCAACCTGGGTAGATGGGGGTTGAGCTGAAGTAGGGGAAGCGCGTGCCGTCTTCGGTGATGGCAATCTCCTGGGCGAGGATGTCGATGTCTTCCCAGTTGAGCAGCCCGTCATGGGCGGCTTGCTCGAGGAAACCGGTTTGCACCATGCCGGCAGCAGCATCGCCAGACAGCACGGCATCAAGCACACGCTCGTGTGTGCCCAGGAACTGGATCTGTGTGTTTGAGTTGGGGCAGATGTTGCAGTGTGGTGCGGTGTTGGTGTGAGACAGGAGTGAGACAGGAGACAAGCCAGGAGGCCAATGTGCACAGGATTGCACCACACACACACATCAACACACACATCAACACACACACACACACACACACACACACACACACACACACACACACACACACACACACGAACCGCACCTCGGCTGCGTCGTCGATGAGGTCAGTGCCAATCTTGCTGCGGTACTTGGCAAAGTTGGCGTGCGTGCTCGCAAAGTCCGTGATGGTGGTGCCGGCGATGACCTGGTCCTTGAGGTCAGACAGCGAGACAATGCGGGAGTCGCGCATGGTGAACATCACACCGCCAACGGTGTCCACAAACTTGACCTCGTCTCCTGAGTCGCCAGCGGCTGTGTAACGCAGTGAAGGTATTGCAAAAGGGGTGGAGAGTGGTAAGTTGGTCACCTTTGCGAGAAATCAAGCTGTTCGTGCGGTTGAGCAGTTTCTCAAGCGGTTGACGACGTGACACTCGCTCAGAGAGGCAAACATCTGACACTCGCTCAGAGAGGCAAACGCAGACACACACAGACACACACACACACACAGACACACACAGACACACACAGACAGACAGACAGACACACACACACAGACAGACAGACACAGACACACACACACACACACAGACACACGCAGACACACAGGCACAGGCACACACACACACACACCTGTGACGACGGGGAGGCCAAAGCCGTTGAGAGGGGCGAATCCTTGTTCGACGTCGAGGCAAGACATGGTCTTGGTGTCGACGAGTGCATACTCCAGGGTGTCGACCTGATCCAGCAGCTCCAGTTCCGACATGCGGTGAAAGGCAAAGAGGCCGGGGATAACAGCGTTCAGGAAGTTCTCGTAGGCATCACATGCCTCTGGTGACACGGAAAATGCAAGCAAGTGTGCGTGTGTGGTGATGTGACAACGCCCAAGTCGTGGAGTTGCGAGTTCGCGAACAAGCAAGTGGAAGTGACGCAGCGACAGCGACACGCTGCAGGGGTGGCAAGGAAACCAACAAGCAAGCGAGAACACCAATGCGTTTGCACGTACACCTTTGCACGCGCACAGCCACGCACAAACACATGGAACCCACCTGGGTGAAGTGGGGAGAGGACGCAGCCGATTTGGATGCGGTACGCGGCAGGGACCGCTGTGCCGTTCTGTTGTGCCGTGACCGGTGAGGCCGCAGTGAGGGCCGTGGCGAGCACGATCATCAGGAAGTGCAGCATGGATGCGGTGGATGTGTGTGCCATCATGTTTTGCCCGCTCTTCTTCTCGTGGAAGAGGTTGTCGTTGGCAAGAGTTGCTTGGTTGCTGTTGCCGGTATTGGGTAACTGTGGGTGATTGTCCTCGCTATGTGAGTGTGTGCTGGAGTGTGACTTCCGATGGGTGTCGAGGTGGTTGGAAAAATGTCAAAGCGCCAACCACCCACCAACCATCATCATCTCCCATCTCCCTGCTCTGCTGCAGCTGGCAGCCACACAACCACACCCACATCCTACGCGTCGCCATGACTTTCGTTCCAGCCACTGGGCACGCAGCAAGGAGACAACAAAGGGAAAAACACCTTTTCCATGCGAAAAAGTTGTTGTCAGGATTGGTTGAGCTTGGGGGTTGTCAGGGTTGGCGCTTTGGCCCACTGCAACACGTCTTAACATGTGTTCGTTCCCTGCGTTGCCTTGATGGCAAGGGAGCGGGCAAGGGAAGGTCCGTCAGTGGACGATGAGCGAGGAGGTGGAGTGGAAGAGTGCAATGTGGACGGGTTGCCAGAAACGCAACAACTTTCACTCAACCACGTTTTGTTTGCGAAGCGTTGGTCAGGGCCGTGTGTTTTTGGTTCTGTGCCGAACAATGCTTGCGTGCTTGCTTGCAAGCAAAAGCACAGACAGCAAACAAGCTGTTGTGCTGCAGAAGACAACCACGACGACAATGGTGGTGCGTGATGTGAGTGGCGGGCTCTGCGCCTCTTCTGTTGTTGCAGGCAGCCAGCTAGAGATGCACTGCAGGCATAAGGGGTTGCGTGCGTCTCTCTCTCTGTGCTTTGTGTTGGCTCTGTCTTGCTCTTGAAAGATGACAACAGCAGGCGTGTGTGTCGCTGC